GGTGTAGTGTATTATGAGCTGTTAAAACCGACTGAAACAATCACAGGCGATCGGTATCGAACGCAATTGATGCGTTTGAACCGAGCATTGAAAGATAAACAGCCGCAATACAACGAGAGACACTATAAAGTGATGCAGCATAACAATGCTCGACCCCATGTTGCGAAAGTGGTCAAGACATACTTGGAAACGTTGAAATGGGAAGTCCTACCCCACCCGCCGTATTCTCCAGACGTTGCTCCCTCTGACTATCACTTGTTTCGATCAATGGCACACGGCCTGGCTGACCAGCAACATAGCTCCCCTAGCGCGGGGAGCTTGGGGCACACTGTTTTAGGGACGCGAGGACTATACCACTATCCTGACTAATTCGCAAACCTTCTCTAATCTTTTTGTTTAATGACTTTTGGCTTCGCTTCCGATACTCGCGACCCGAGACGCGGAGCGCACGCAAAAATGTTTCGAGTGGAGTCGCGCCTTGTGACGGGCGCCTCTCGGGCCGCCACGTCACAATACATAAAAGTTTAATCGACAATTGAATCGTTAAAAATACGACAAATAAATATAATTAGAGATTTATGCATTTTTTATCCTATTTCAATAGTCCTCTATTGGCATAAGATCAACATTCTAAGTGTAACTAATTACAACTTATAATAATGTTGCTTACAATAATTATTCCTTATATTGCGATTAACATTTTACTACAACTATATTTATTATCTTTATAACAATATAATAATATTTGATTAATTAATTTAATTAATTAAATTAATTAATTAATTTAATCAATTAATTTAATTTAATTTAATTTAATTAATTTAATTTAATCAATTAATTTAATTTAATCAATTAATTTAATTTTATCATGGTAAGGATTATCGGTAACTATTTTGGCACTTTATATGTAAAGTTCCCACTTCTCCGTACAACATAAAAATTGTAAATAACTAATCAAGATTATTACAGCAATGCAAGATAAAGACTACAGCATATCGTGTGCTTTTCGTGTTAAATCGCATGAGAACTACTATATGAGCTAACATGCTTGTTGCAAAATCGGCAAATTTGTATGTGTTATACGTGCCAGCATGCTGATTTTCGATAATAGAACTGGTGTTATTTTTATTGCGTAATTTAATGCTAGATGAGAAGTTAAATCACATGACATATGCGATCCAACAATGCAGGATAATAAATTATATCATCTTAGATGTTAAATAATGCAGTAGCTAATAAAATTATGAATCAATAAAATGGCCTTATATAATTTAACGTGTCCTTGCTGGAAAACAGTTTATATACTTAAAAATATCGCCAATATATCATATTTTTCAGTTGAGCAACGATAACTTCTAATTGTAATTCAGATGTATGTGTATTTGTATAGATATCTGCTTCCCGTCCTCTGCGCACTGATCTACTCAATATTCTAGTTATACACAGTATGTCATAAAAGTAACTGTGAGTAACTAGATTCTTCTCTTTTGGAACACCATCTATGAATGAATATATTCATTTTGAAGCTTGAACCTTCAAGTAATAAACCTAAAAATTTTATATCGAGCGAACATCTGTGTCATAAGTTTTGGGGATCAGTCTGACAGTACCTTTTGTGCGCGCGTTGGAAAAACGTCATGGAGCAACGAGTTTAATATTACATTTTGTTTTAAATTGGACAAAACTGTCGCGGAAACGAATAAAAAATAAAATGAAAAATGATCCAAAGTGTCTATGATAGTAAAGCTATGAATCGTACTAATGTTTTTAAGTAGTTTAGGCTATTTCGTGATGACAGGGAAAGTATCAAAAACGAGCCTGGAGCGGTCAAAATCAAGTCTCACTCACAAAAACATAAAAAGAATTACTAAAATTCTTCGATCGGTGTTCTCAGTCGTTTATGAAACAGGATTCATCGAATTCCAGCAGAATACCGAGAACAAGAGTCTTGACCGTTGCTGGATGATAATGCGCCCAAATAAAAAAATTGTATGCGACTTTTTGGCCAAGAAAATCATAGTGCTTCATCACCCCATATTCGCCAGATTTAGCTTTCTGCATATTCTAGATATTCTCCGATAGCGGGACTTCGTAATTTAGAGGGTAGCTGCCGTCGCCTCTGCACATCGCGATTTTCCTAATCAAATCCGTAGACGGGAACTTGAGATCGTACGCCAGTCCGAATTTTGCGAACATATCGATTAAATGCGTGGTGTAGTTTACCGCACTGATATCTATCTCTCCCGATCTGTAATCCCAAGGGAAGACGTGGTGATAATTGTGTTGTCCTTCCCCGAATGTCAGCGCGCTGACTAATTTGTTGTCCGCCGGCCTTATATGCCTGAAAGAGTGATGTGCGAATGTTTTATGATAGAATTGTGAAAGTTATATGCTTTTCTTAGAAATAAATTTTTACCATTAGAGGTCATTAGGATGACATAAAATATATTTGTTTCTCTTTAACTTATGTGCATCAGTTGAGACAATTCAGCTAAAAAGAACAGATCTATTATAATACCGTTGGCCGTTAACAAAAGCAACTCGTTATTCATTGATCTTGTGATTACTGTCTCATTTTGAAATATAACTCGTGATTATTATCGTTTATTCATTATTCAAAAAGTAGCGTGTCGTTATATAATTTCTTTTTACTTGCAAATGAGAACAAGCACTGTTGTTACAGTGAAGTCATAAGTCTAACAACGAAAGTTACATCAGTGTATTATTATTGTTGTAATTATTATTGAGAATCACATAGCGATGTGATATTTATTTGTAGATTTAACATTTCATTGTAATAACAGCATTTCTGCCTGTATCTACTTCCCTTCATTATTTCCCACTTATTTTTTCTTTGCTATTTTATTGTACATTACATTTATTATTTTTATATTGCCAAGAACTTTATTGTTTTTTCATGTTTTTTTTTTTATTTGAATTTATATTACATTTCTTACAAGTAATGCATCACTTCTCAATCCTGGTGTCACATGTAAACGCGGCTTACAGCTCTATGCATGAACGCAAAAAAAATCTCAGTTGGTGCAAGCGAATAGGAAACAACTGAAAATGAAATGTCAGAAGCAATATCTTTGTTTTGAAAACTAGTATTTCTATTATCGCAACCGTCTGAACATTCAGCGATATTAGAACTCGGTTGAAGCAACTGAGAACAATTGAACTATACAGAAGCCTCATAAAGGAATTTTTCCGTTCCTACAGCTGAGTATTCGTCTAATCTCTGAGCAACCAAAAATTCGGTTGCACCAACAGAATTGTTTTTTCCGTGTGCATTGCGAGTATCGCATACCTGTTGTACGGCCTGTAACCCCATGCGTGGGATACGCTGTTGAAAATCGCTACGCTGTTTAGAGTAATCATGTACCGTATAAACACCTGAGAGATGATAGCCCTGTCCCACATTTCATTCCAGAAGTACACAGGCACGATCGTAGGCAGGATGAAGCCGAATATGAGTTGCAGCAATGAGAAATATCTGAAATGTGTGTGGTGTAGTTAAAAATTAACCCGCTACACCATGGTACACGGAAAAAAATATCAGTGTAATTGAATAAGACCAGACGAGAAACTCATTGACGGGATATAATATCTCTGTCACCGTGACCAAAAATATTTATCTGAACAAACAACTGCACTAAAATTCGAATAACTAAAAACAATTGGCTGAATAACCTCCTACAGAAACCTCTCTGTCCTTATCAAGTTTTTGTCTGGTTTCCACGTAAATTTAGCTAGACTAATAGTCGTTTTATCGTGTAAGTTTTAATTATACGGGATATAGGATTAGGATATAGGATTAGGATAACACCAATTAATTAAGTAATTTAATTTATGAAAGAATTTGCGATGATGCTTTTGCTGTGGATACATCTTAGTTGATAATTAATTTTACTATATGGTTTCCGTGCTACTAGAGTGTCTCATCTATCAGCTGCGGAATATATGATGTTCAATATGAGGTGAGCAATATCTAAATACACTTACTTCTCGCTAAATGCTACGACAGGATCCGAGAGAATGTCCGAGAGATCGAGCTTCTTGCTTTTCTCGAGCAGTTTTGGATGCTCCTTCATCATTATCCACCCGACATGCGAGAAGAAGAAACCACGGTTACGGTTGTGAGGATCGGCGTCGGTGTCGCAATATTTGTGATGCAAATAATGATTCCTCACCCATTTGTATATCGAATTCTAGAGGCAAACAAATAGACAAACGTAAGTTCTTCACATTATTATTATCATCTAATTATAGGTATGATCCTGTTGCTTAACCTAAATTTATACTGATGTACAATAATTATCACGATGCAATATTTAATGCAATATTTATTACAAATTTAAAAACAAGATTGATTTTTCGTAAATTATCGAGTAAGTAATCGCGGCAAACATTTTGATTGCAAATAACCCGTCATAAAGAATCATTATTGCAATAATTTGCATCGAGTTTAAGACTATTGCTGCAATTCTAAGCAAATATACGAGAAAATC